CATACACAGTTAAAGATCATTACTATACACCGCTGTTTGGGGTGATATTATGGGACAAACTTAATTTCAAATTAGGGCTGTCGCGATATTCGGGTATTGGCGATAACCATGATATTCAAAAATGACACACTGATATCATGCTAATAATACACATCTTATAGTATGTAAATACATCATTTGCCTTTCTTTCTGTTCACGCTTTGTCTCCCTCCACCAATGCTTGTCCGTGTGTAGTTGCTCTTTTAGTACAATCTTGTGCAGTCATGGTTACAGACTCTCAGTCTTTGCACGTCCCTACACTGTCATGAGTGTAAATCATTTGTCAAAAAGAACATGTCATGCCAGCCCTATTTCCGATTGAATCTCATGTGTCAAAATGTGTCTTTGTGTGTGTTATTTCAACTTTGCAGGCGCCTTGTGGACGATACTCATCCTCTTCACATTGCCACACCTTACCTACAACATGCTCTGCCCCAGCAGCTGCTTGTGTAACTTTAGAGGTGCTGTGAAGTGTGTTGGTGACACCATCACAGATATACCAAAGCAGCTGCCTGTCCACACATACCTGCTGCAGCTTAACGGCACAATAATGAACGTCATAAATGAGCAGAGCTTGGCAAACAGGGACCTCTTGCTGCGTTTCAGTCTGACTCACAGTCATTTACACACGATCCATCCCAGAGCCTTCCATGTGGCTCCACAGCTCAAGTCTGTCAAGCTGTCGTACAATGATCTCTCTACCCTCCCTGCGCGGGTTTTCAGTCCAATGACCACTCTGGAGCAGCTGCATTTAGATGGGAACCAGTTGGAGACCATAGCCCCGGATATGTTTGAAGGACTTGTCGGGTTGCTGGATCTAGACCTGAGCCGGAACAAACTGAGTAGTCCTTCTTCAGATGTTTTCGATAAACTGTCCAGCCTCACCTTTCTGAACCTCGGCAGGAACTCCATAAAGAAGCTTCCACCTACCATCTTTCACTCCTTGACTAATCTCAACCAGCTCATGCTCTATAACAACGAACTAGAGGTGCTAGAACCTGGGATTTTTGACAAACTTATCAACCTTGAGGAGCTGAAAATCCATCAAAACTACATTACCAGCCTTTCACCTCAGGTGTTCTGGTCACTGAAGAACCTGAGGGTCCTCACCCTGTCCTCCAACCGACTTCAGGCTATCCCAGAAAAGAGCTTCTACAACATGCCAAAGCTGAGAAAGCTAACCATTTACAACAACCCCCTGTTATCTCTGCCAGACCAGCTGATGGGACACATGCCTGACATTATTGACTTTTATTTGTATGCCACTAACCTCACCACTGTTCCTGGAAATTTGTTTGCCAACATGTCTGGACTCCTGAGGCTTAACTTCCATTTAAATGACCATCTGAGGGAGTTGCCCTCAGACCTCTTCTGCTGCCTTCCCAAGCTTGAGAAACTCTCACTGAGATCCAACAACCTCCATTATCTACATCCTCGGCTGTTCTCCGGACTAACCACACTTGGCATACTGTTTCTTAATGATAACAAGCTGCAGAGCCTTCCAGATGACATCTTCCAGGACCTTAGCAGGGTTGTGTCAATTGATTTGAAGAATAACCAGCTTATGACTCTTCCAGGAGATAGTTTCTTGTCAAATACAGCTTTGAAGGCTCTTGGACTGAGTGGCAACCCCTGGGACTGTACTTGTAGTATCAGAGGTATTGCAAAATGGATAAGACATAATGAGCATGTGGTTCTTGACAGACAGGATGTGATATGTCACAGTCCAACATACCAACTGCTCCGTACTGTTGGCTCACTGCGTGATGAGGAGTTCAACTTTTGCGACACTATGACAGTCACGCCAAGTTATTTTTTGACACACAAGCCAATAAAAACATTCCACACCACTTCAACTCGTGGACAAACAACTGTTGCAGCTTCTACAACTACACCGTCCCCAAAAACATCTACCATCATTCAAGGAGCTACTCAACAATCCACCACTCCATCTTCACAACCATCTTTACATACCACAGTCCTACCAACAACTCTCCAAACTCCCACCCCTACCCTGCCTAACAAGGAGACTCTTCCCATTACTGAGACCCCCTCACCTCCTTTCTATGACACAGAGGTCGTTGAACAGAAAACAACCCAACAAGTCATCATCACAACAACTACTCCAACTACAAAACCATCTGACTTACATACCACAATCCTACCAACAACTCTCCAAACTCCCACCACCATCCTGCCTAACAAGGAGTTTCTCTCCATTCCTGAGACTCCCTCACCTCCTTTCTATGAAATGTTGGTGATTGAACAGGGGCCCGAGTTTGTTCACCACAACCCTCACAAGGCCTGGGTGTATGTGTGGTTTCTGCCCTCAGATATGACCATGACCGGACTTCTCATGTTTTCTCACATCCTTCTTGTGGTCACAGGCTTGGTCCTCATTCTTGGTGCACTGTTTTACATGTATCGCCTCAACAAGACCGTGAATGAACTGAAGACTGAGTGTGCACATCCTCCAGGGTTATGAAACACTTTGTCAGGCTAGGTGCACAAGAGATCAAGATTAAGCGTCCTTTTCCCGAGGTTGCAGTTTATAAACGATTTCTCTGGGGTGTAAGTTTTCTTGACGTTGTGTTAAGTTGTATCTTCAAGTGTTATGTGAGGACAGTCAGAATATGGGATTTAAAATATTGTGACAAAGCTAAAGCTAAAGGATATTTTAAAGAGCAAAGACTTAGGCTATGGTAAGACAATACATATATAATATCATATAATACAGTTAAGCATATCATACAGTACGTAAGATTCACAAACAGCTGAAATTAGCTTTTTTTTTTTTTTTTTTTTTTTTTACATATTTTTGGTTGTAACTTTATGTTATTTGTAGAGCTATAAGGAGCTGCTTGGATCAATCAATTGATAAATCGAAAAAAAAAAAGTAAACCTATTTTGAGAATTTATCAATAATTTCAGTGATTTTTCTGTCAGAAATGCCAGGCATTTGCTAGATTCAGCTTCTCAAATGTAAAATTTAGCTGCTTTTATTTGTCTTGTATAATAGTAAATCAAATATTTTTCGAGCTTTGGATTGTTGGTCGGACAAATTAAGCAATTTGAAGACGTCACTTTGGGTTCTTGGAGGTTGTGATGCGTGTTTTTTTGACATTTCATGAAACAAATTGTTCATCAGGAAAATATTTGTCAAATTACTCAATGATGAAAATAGTGAATATATTTTACAAAAATCAAATAAATTACCAATTAATAATTAGTTCCTATGTCCTTGTCTTAATGCGTCACGCACAAAGTGATACATAATAATGTCTCACAGTCTGTGTTAGTTTTACATGTTATATTAATCTGTGTTTACCATATGAGCAAAACCTATGTAGTGTGCAATATTAAGCTTCATAAAGCAAAGTCAGGCCAATGTAGTCAAGTTATTTAGTTATTTGTTTCTCTCTAGTGATGATAAACGTTTGTTGTAACTTTTGCTTAATCAGTCTGAATAAAATGCATTATGTGCAAATGTCTTTCTTCCTTGTTGGTGGATACGAGATGCTTGTTTGTCTATAGAGGATTAGATTTCCTGCTGCTGTGGTGTGTATTAATAAGATGTGGTGATGATGTTATTCCTGACTCTCCCATCAGGAATTACAAATGCATCTTTCTAAAAAAAAATTTTTTTCCATCTGACCAAGACTACATGTTACATTTCACCAATGAGAACCTGCAATATTGTTAACATAATCAAGATGATTTATGGGTCAGAGAGCAAAGGGAGCTCTGGACGACACAGCTGAATATATGAGCCACTAAAACAATGTTTACTCATGTTTGAAGTGTTTTCTGTCTTGCACAAAATGACACTACAAATTACACGGAAAGAGAAACAAAAAGAGGATTGCTATCATACTGCAGGGGTGGGGTCAAACAGAAGGCAAAAGTGAAGGAATTAAATCCTGACACTTTTTTTCATGTCTCCTCACATGCATTCAGACAAGCAAAAATCCCCCAAGGGTGGGGCTTCTTCTTGTTTGCTTGATCTAATACCGCTACATCAGGCAAAAAAGGAGGAAATTACAAAGATATCACCAACTCAAGGTCTCTGTCCATTTTATCGTCAGCCTCGACTCGAGGTAAGTTCTGCAAAACTTCATGCTGTCCTGGTTAACAGAGTGCTGATCGTTACTTACTTGTACCATACTGTTTGACGATTGTTAGGCAGGGAGATAGCAGGATGAAATTAATCATAGGCTAAGGATAATGATTGCTGTAGCTTTAACAGCTAGAACAATAAGTCAACTTTTGAATTCAGTGGCTCAAAATGAGCAGCCAGTGTTCCTCTTCATGTGTGCTGTAAAAGAGAACAGACTGAGACACAGGTTCAAAATAGGGGAGAATTAGACAGGGGAAGCAAAAAATATTATTTTTGGAAAAGAAAGCGCAATAGCCAATAGTTCTTAACAGGTCATGAAATAGTCTCAATGTAACACTGATGCCGTCATGAGCCTGTTTACATTTGGTTTTAGGAAGCGTTTTGGTGATCGTAACACAAATGTACAGCTGAGACATCGTTCACACCTGTTTCTATCACGAATCTCCAGCTGACAACTTATATTTGGATTTCATTATGCTTATGTCACTTCTGCTACAATGTCAAAGGGCCTGGTGCACTGTTATCACTTTCACACTCTTGCTAGTCACCTTGTGTCTGCACAGCAGGAGATATCATGAAATACATTGAGAGACATGGTTTTACATTAAAATATGAATTTATGCTGGTGGCTAAAGCAAAGTTGACTTTGTTTCATCATCATCAAATCTTAGTTATTATCTTACATAGTCAAAACTAGATACATGACCTCATCACTGTGTATCCTGCAAAAAGCTGTGTTTAAAAAAAGTAAGTTGCACCGTTCTTTTACTCACTTTCAAATCAAATGCACATGCCAGATCAAGATCTTTACGACAGGTGGTGGGGCGTCACACACTTCCCCCTGACCGAGGCTATTAATTACAAAGAAATACATATTGTCCTCTTTCTCTTTTTCCTCTTTCCTCAGCTCTCTCTTGCTGACGCTGCCATCAACCCCCACTCCTCCACAACTCGGTTGGACGCTGCAGTCAGAACTGAGGAAAACTGCTGCTGAAGGTGCATTCATTATAACAAGTAATTGTCAAAGTTTTTTTTAACCCTTTGGTGGTCTTCCTTGTGCCTACAAAGTCATCCATCTTGTCACAATTTCATACGATGGACTACATCTCTTTGTAACCATCTGTTAACCAAGCATTGCATTCATTCTTGTCTTCATATGTTCAATGAGGAGTACTGTGCATGTTCGTAATAGTTGAGTAAACCTTCAATTCAGTGACAATCAAATTAAATTTCTGTTATTTAATACAAAATGAATTCTTTCTGATAGCCTGAAGTTGAGTGCAATCACTCTCCATCTTTTGAACCAAATTATTTGTTTACAGTACATATTATTGTGACAAAGTAAAGCCTTTATGTTACTGATATGTCACCACTTATATATTATCACAGGAGAGTAAAAAACAAATCATACAATAAACTACCTTCTAATATGTTTACAAGATCTAAATCTAATCTACTCCATTTTATAACTTAGGATTTTTTTTTTTTTTTTTAATAGTGAATGAACATGGCAAGAGGAGAAATCGTGGTTCTTTTTCTGTCTTTACTGTTTGAGTCCTCATTAACTCAGAAACAATGTGAAAAGGAGACAGACTGCCCCAAAGAGAACCAGGCTGTTTTCAGTACCTCTACAACAGAAATCCCACGCATCCTAAAACCAGGTGTGACAGAAGTTTTCTTTGTGGAAAGCCAGATTGACACAATCCCCAAAGCAGCCTTTGTTGAAAACCCCCATCTTGAAAAGGTGGAGTTCATGAGCACTACCACGACATCTATCGAGCCAGGAGCTTTTGAAGGTTTGGTAGACCTCAAGCATATTGAGATCTCCAGCACTCCATTAAAGTCGATACCAGTGGGAGTCTTTAAAGACCTCAACAACCTGGAGAAGCTTGTAATAAAGCTTAACAAGCTCCGTAGTCTGGAGAAAGGCTTGTTTGAGGGCCTTACAAAATTACGAGAGCTCCTTTTACACATGAACGAGATAGAATCGATTGAAGATGGGACTTTTGATGAACTCAACAACCTCACAGTGCTCCATTTGGCTAAAAACAACCTCTCCGCTGTATCTACCAGCTGGTTCTCAAACCTAAACAAACTACAGACGCTACGGCTTTATGAGAATCAACTGACCACCATTCCTGAAGAGATTTTGCAGAATCTGCCAAACCTAAAGGAAATTGGCTTGCAGGGAAACAAAATAGCAGAATTGTCACCTAATCTATTTCCACATAAAGACCAACTAAGTAAGGTGTACCTGGATAATAATCATCTGACTAGTTTACCTGAAGGATTCTTCGTTGGCTTCCCTCTGCTTAAAACGCTGACCCTACAGAAGAATAAACTGACGAGTCTACCACCTGTGCTTTTTGGAGAAATGCCTAAATTGACAGAGTTAAGCCTGAGTCAGAACAATCTCAGCGCTCTTCCTAAAGGAATATTCAGCCCTCTGAAGAAAGTCAAGAAGTTAGATCTGTCTAAGAATCAATTTGTCACCTTTTATGCTGAGAACTTTGAAGGTCCTGAGAGGCTCACAGACCTGAATCTACAGTACAACAAGATAAAGTCACTGGACGTAGATGTGTTTGAAAAGCTACAATCACTGATCACACTCAAGCTAGCTCACAACGACCTCCAGACGCTTCCTGGGGATATTTTTGAGCCTTTAACAAAACTGAGAAAACTTTACCTCAATGACAACCCTTGGCACTGTGACTGTAATCTGATAGAGCTTCACCTCTGGATGAAGACGAACTCTGACAAGCTTGTGTCTCCTGCTGTCTGTGAGTATCCAGAAGATCTAAAAGGACAAGAAATAAAATCATTACCAGAAGATCAACTTATCTGCCCCACCCTTCCCCCCACAATCACAACCATCACCACCACCACAACTCCCAAAGCACTCCTAACTACAGAACCAAAAACCACCATCATTACTACCACAACACCAGCAACCACTTTGTCAGCTACAACAAACACCTGTCTTAACCATGCCACTAGCAACAACCATTACAAAGGCACCAACAAATACTATAACAACAGCTCTAGCCACCATGACCCCCACCACAACACCAACACCCACAACAACTTTAACAAGTACACCCACCACAACCACTTTGAGTATGCCCACAACCATTACGACTACGTCTACAACAATTATGCATACAACCATTCCAAAGGCACCAACAAACACCATAACAAAAACTCCAGCCACCATGACCACCACCTCAACACCAACACCCACAACAACTTTAACCACCAACACCACTTCGAGTACAACCACAACCATTACGACTATGCATACAACAATTATGCCCACGACCACCAGCTTCAGCACCCAACCGACCACCACCAAGGTACCAGTGCTGGACTGGGTGAAAATAAGCCAAAGTGTGGAGGAGAGGGACCGGGTAAAGAAGCCTGACCTCCGGGGAAGGCCTTTCTCCTCTCCCTGCAGTGAGGGACAATCTTCACTCCACCCCCTTCCTCAGCTGATTGTCTGCCCCCCCTCCCTCCCTCAGCTTCGCCTATCTTTTCTGAATTTTTTTAAATCAAGGTGTGGGCGGAGTAATGCCCAGAGAGGGGGGTTTAGTTCCCCTTTAAGTTGTATCTTCAAGTGTTATGTGAGGACAGTCAGAATATGGGATTTAAAATATTGTGACAAAGCTAAAGCTAAAGGATATTTTAAAGAGCAAAGACTTAGGCTATGGTAAGACAATACATATATAATATCATATAATACAGTTAAGCATATCATACAGTACGTAAGCTTCACAAACAGCTGAAATTAGCTTTTTTTTTTTTTTTTTTTTTTTTTTACATATTTTTGGTTGTAACTTTATGTTATTTGTAGAGCTATAAGGAGCTGCTTGGATCAATCAATTGATAAATCGAAAAAAAAAAAGTAAACCTATTTTGAGAATTTATCAATAATTTCAGTGATTTTTCTGTCAGAAATGCCAGGCATTTGCTAGATTCAGCTTCTCAAATGTAAAAATTAGCTGCTTTTATTTGTCTTGTATAATAATAAATCAAATATTTTTAGAGATTTGGATTGTTGGTCGGACAAATAAAGCAATTTGAAGACGTCACTTTGGGATCTTGGAGGTTGTGATGCGTGTTTTTTTGACATTTCATGAAACAAATTGTTCATCAGGAAAATATTTGTCAAATTACTCAATGATGAAAATAGTGAATATATTTTACAAAAATCAAATAAATTACCAATTAATAATTAGTTCCTATGTCCTTGTCTTAATGCGTCACGCACAAAGTGATACATAATAATGTCTCACAGTCTGTGTTAGTTTTACATGTTATATTAATCTGTGTTTACCATATGAGCAAAACCTATGTAGTGTGCAATATTAAGCTTCATAAAGCAAAGTCAGGCCAATGTAGTCAAGTTATTTAGTTATTTGTTTCTCTCTAGTGATGATAAAAGTTTGTTGTAACTTTTGCTTAATCAGTCTGAATAAAATGCATTATGTGCAAATGTCTTTCTTCCTTGTTGGTGGATACGAGATGCTTGTTTGTCTATAGAGGATTAGATTTCCTGCTGCTGTGGTGTGTATTAATAAGATGTGGTGATGATGTTATTCCTGACTCTCCCATCAGCAATTACAAATGCATCTTTCTAAAAAAAAATTTTTTTCCATCTGACCAAGACTACATGTTACATTTCACCAATGAGAACCTGCAATATTGTTAACATAATCAAGATGATTTATGGGTCAGAGAGCAAAGGGAGCTCTGGACGACACAGCTGAATATATGAGCCACTAAAACAATGTTTACTCATGTTTGAAGTGTTTTCTGTCTTGCACAAAATGACACTACAAATTACACGGAAAGAGAAACAAAAAGAGGATTGCTATCATACTGCAGGGGTGGGGTCAAACAGAAGGCAAAAGTGAAGGAATTAAATCCTGACACTTTTTTTCATGTCTCCTCACATGCATTCAGACAAGCAAAAATCCCCCAAGGGTGGGGCTTCTTCTTGTTTGCTTGATCTAATACCGCTACATCAGGCAAAAAAGGAGGAAATTACAAAGATATCACCAACTCAAGGTCTCTGTCCATTTTATCGTCAGCCTCGACTCGAGGTAAGTTCTGCAAAACTTCATGCTGTCCTGGTTAACAGAGTGCTGATCGTTACTTACTTGTACCATACTGTTTGAAGATTGTTAGGCAGGGAGATAGCAGGATGAAATTAATCATAGGCTAAGGATAATGATTGCTGTAGCTTTAACAGCTAGAACAATAAGTCAACTTTTGAATTCAGTGGCTCAAAATGAGCAGCCAGTGTTCCTCTTCATGTGTGCTGTAAAAGAGAACAGACTGAGACACAGGTTCAAAATAGGGGAGAATTAGACAGGGGAAGCAAAAAATATTATTTTTGGAAAAGAAAGCGCAATAGCCAATAGTTCTTAACAGGTCATGAAATAGTCTCAATGTAACACTGATGCCGTCATGAGCCTGTTTACATTTGGTTTTAGGAAGCGTTTTGGTGATCATAACACAAATGTACAGCTGAGACATCGTTCACACCTGTTTCTATCACGAATCTCCAGCTGACAACTTATATTTGGATTTCATTATGCTTATGTCACTTCTGCTACAATGTCAAAGGGCCTGGTGCACTGTTATCACTTTCACACTCTTGCTAGTCACCTTGTGTCTGCACAGCAGGAGATATCATGAAATACATTGAGAGACATGGTTTTACATTAAAATATGAATTTATGCTGGTGGCTAAAGCAAAGTTGACTTTGTTTCATCATCATCAAATCTTAGTTATTATCTTACATAGTCAAAACTAGATACATGACCTCATCACTGTGTATCCTGCAAAAAGCTGTGTTTAAAAAAAGTAAGTTGCACCGTTCTTTTACTCACTTTCAAATCAAATGCACATGCCAGATCAAGATCTTTACGACAGGTGGTGGGGCGTCACACACTTCCCCCTGACCGAGGCTATTAATTACAAAGAAATACATATTGTCCTCTTTCTCTTTTTCCTCTTTCCTCAGCTCTCTCTTGCTGACGCTGCCATCAACCCCCACTCCTCCACAACTCGGTTGGACGCTGCAGTCAGAACTGAAGAAAACTGCTGCTGAAGGTGCATTCATTATAACAAGTAATTGTCAAAGTTTTTTTTAACCCTTTGGTGGTCTTCCTTGTGCCTACAAAGTCATCCATCTTGTCACAATTTAATACGATGGACTACATCTCTTTGTAACCATCTGTTAACCAAGCATTGCATTCATTCTTGTCTTCATATGTTCAATGAGGAGTACTGTGCATGTTCGTAATAGTTGAGTAAACCTTCAATTCAGTGACAATCAAATTAAATTCTGTTATTTAATACAAAATGAATTCTTTCTGATAGCCTGAAGTTGAGTGCAATCACTCTCCATCTTTTGAACCAAATTATTTGTTTACAGTACATATTATTGTGACAAAGTAAAGCCTTTATGTTACTGATATGTCACCACTTATATATTATCACAGGAGAGTAAAAAACAAATCATACAATAAACTACCTTCTAATATGTTTACAAGATCTAAATCTAATCTACTCCATTTTATAACTTAGGATTTTTTTTTTTTTTTTTAATAGTGAATGAACATGGCAAGAGGAGAAATCGTGGTTCTTTTTCTGTCTTTACTGTTTGAGTCCTCATTAACTCAAAAACAATGTGAAAAGGAGACAGACTGCCCCAAAGAGAACCAGGCTGTTTTCAGTACCTCTACAACAGAAATCCCACGCATCCTAAAACCAGGTGTGACAGAAGTTTTCTTTGTGGAAAGCCAAATTGACACAATCCCCAAAGCAGCCTTTGTTGAAAACCCCCATCTTGAAAAGGTGGAGTTCATGAGCACTACCACGACATCTATCGAGCCAGGAGCTTTTGAAGGTTTGGTAGACCTCAAGCATATTGAGATCTCCAGCACTCCATTAAAGTCGATACCAGTGGGAGTCTTTAAAGACCTCAACAACCTGGAGAAGCTTGTAATAAAGCTTAACAAGCTCCGTAGTCTGGAGAAAGGCTTGTTTGAGGGCCTTACAAAATTACGAGAGCTCCTTTTACACATGAACGAGATAGAATCGATTGAAGATGGGACTTTTGATGAACTCAACAACCTCACAGTGCTCCATTTGGCTAAAAACAACCTCTCCGCTGTATCTACCAGCTGGTTCTCAAACCTAAACAAACTACAGACGCTACGGCTTTATGAGAATCAACTGACCACCATTCCTGAAGAGATTTTGCAGAATCTGCCAAACCTAAAGGAAATTGGCTTGCAGGGAAACAAAATAGCAGAATTGTCACCTAATCTATTTCCACATAAAGACCAACTAAGTAAGGTGTACCTGGATAATAATCAACTGACTAGTTTACCTGAAGGATTCTTAGTTGGCTTCCCTCTGCTTAAAAAGCTGACCCTACAGAAGAATAAACTGACGAGTCTACCACCTGTGCTTTTTGGAGAAATGCCTAAATTGACAGAGTTAAGCCTGAGTCAGAACAATCTCAGAGCTCTTCCTAAAAGAATATTCAGCCCTCTGAAGAAAGTCAAGAAGTTAGATCTGTCTAAGAATCAATTTGTCACCTTTTATGCTGAGAACTTTGAAGGTCCTGAGAGGCTCACAGACCTGAATCTACAGTACAACAAGATAAAGTCACTGGACGTAGATGTGTTTGAAAAGCTACAATCACTGATCACACTCAAGCTAGCTCACAACGACCTCCAGACGCTTCCTGGGGATATTTTTGAGCCTTTAACAAAACTGAGAAAACTTTACCTCAATGACAACCCTTGGCACTGTGACTGTAATCTGATAGAGCTTCACCTCTGGATGAAGACGAACTCTGACAAGCTTGTGTCTCCTGCTGTCTGTGAGTATCCAGAAGATCTAAAAGGACAAGAAATAAAATCATTACCAGAAGATCAACTTATCTGCCCCACCCT